TTAGGGGAGGCCTGGCCTGACTAAACTGGCCACTGTGTTCAGCAAAAGAAGGCTCTCGGTCCAACAGGAGGCTAGACCACCCCCTCACTCTTTCATTGAGCAGAAATTATTTCCCCCTTCCTTCTTTTTTTACTCGCCTATATATTTTATTATAAATGTGTGTTTGTTAACTTTGGGTTTAGTTTTTTGTCATTCTGATTTCATAATTATTAAACTTGTCGTGAGCGATTGTTTTCCCTCTAGGGTTGTATTCAAAGCCGAGAAGAAGCTCCGACTGTAACTCGTCGGCAATTGTGATCTTCTCCAAGGGTTCGAGGGGTGCTCCGGTTGTAAGCCAATCCCGCGGGGATAATTATCCTTCATGATTTCCCCTCCCTCACTTGTTGCCCCCCTTAACAAATGCAACAACCTTCCCTGCTTCCCTTATCATCACCCCTTCTATTTCCTCAACCTATTGGTCCGCTTTAACAGTCGGTTACCCTGCTTCCGTAACCCCCCTATCTACCTTCCTACAATGTCGTAACACCCTTTTCTTCCCCACAACTACCACAAACCCCCTCCAATATCAATCTAATGCCGTAACTCATCAAATTGCCCCATCTTCTACTGCAACTCCTCCATCTACCCGCCAGCCTGTACTTTTCCTACTATAGCCGCAACCCTCCTAACCTTTCCTGCCACCATCGCCCACCACCATCGCCTATCCCAAACTTCTCACAACTATTCACCGGCCATCCTGACACATCTTAGCCAGAGATTCGTGTTGTCGTGCTATCGTTTTTCTTATTTTGAAGAGCCATCATAGTAACCTACTTGGTTTGGGTTGACTCCGGTATCAAGTAGTTGTTGTTATTGCTGTGTCCGAGGGTGGGTGGGACAAAGGCTACATTCCTTATTTAGGAAGGAAACACTACATGCATCTCTTCTTGCATTTACGTAGAACACAGTCTGGTTTATTTAAAGGAAAGCAAGCTACCCTGCATTGACAGGAGCTTCAGGAACTAGATATAGGTATGCCTTTTATGTTAAGGCGTGCTTTCATCTTTCACTGAAGTACATTGGCGATCATTAACTCTCCATCACAGAAAAGCCAGTGAATACAATTCATACAATTCATGCTTTGGATCTATCAAATTTCCTCAGGTAAAACTATTCTGGTTGAGTGTGCAGGCATTAAATGAAAACCCGATTGAAGGAAAAGAACACCTGCATATTGTATTCAACAACTCATGCCACAAACATGATTTTTTTTT